GCATTCACTGTTTAGTTGAACAAGTTCATTAAACAAGAATGAGTTTTATAGAAATCGCATAGCTTAGAAAACAAATTTAGAAGTACTTAATAAGAACATATTCAGTATGCATTAGCATACTTCTTTTGAAAAGTTCTTGCGTAGACTTTTGGAGTAGACTTAAACAGCAAACATTTTTCTGTTATCCAATCTTCTATGCCTACAAAAAAACATAGAAACTTAACTTCTAACTAAGCAATATAACTCAAATAACATTAAACAATAAATATATTAGAGTACTTCAAACTTACATAATCCAGTCTAGTATGACCCGGTTGTTGACATTTCGAACAACAGTATTGCTTGTGGATCTTTCACGATTTGCTTTGTTTAAGCCTTGAAATCTCAAGCCAAATTTTCTACATTGCCTTCTTCTGCATACCTATATTAAGTTGGACTAGAGTTAGACATTGCATTGCTTCCTCGGTTTTGATACCAGAGCTCGCAGGATATATATTGTACGAGTATGCTGCATACAAGTAATCCTTGGAGTATGTCGGGCATACAAGAGTTGTCAGATGCATATGCCTTTCTTCTGAACGACAATAACATAAGAACAAGGTACTTTCTCAATATTATACAGACAACACACACTTTTGATATCAAAGTCAACAACACAATCTCGTGTTGATTTGCCAACCATAGATACCTTCTAGCGGTAAATTATCAGCATAATGTGAACGAATTGCCAACAAATATTCAACTCCCGAGTATGGATGGTTTGAAGACTCAAAGCATCTTCCCGCCTTTTACAAAACAAGTTTGCTAGCTTCTCACGTATGTAGTCCAACAATAATACTATAGGAAATCTCCGTGCTCGTTTAAGAACAGAATTGATAGACTCTGCAATATTGCTCGTCTTTATGTTGTATCTATCACCCGGAAAGTGAACTTGTGACCACACCTTAACGTCTGCCTCCTCCAAGTATGTTCCAAGCTCATGTTTTATATGCCGTATCTCGTCCATGTACCGGTTAAAGTCATAAACCGTATACGCAAAGCCAACGCATTTGACCAAGTACATAAGATGTTTTCCCTTAAACTTGGTGACTATGTTGTGGTGCAGATGATAATAACATATCCCTCATGTTAACCATGGTAAAACCGTCTCACATGCCTTCTTAATGGAATTGTGTCTGTCTGAAACTATCACCAAAGGAAATTTGTCGTGCAATTTGTGAAAAACAATTCCTATGCACGATCATTCTCAGTGTCTACTATCCCAATGCTAGTGGAAATATCTGGAAATTATCATCTTACGCCGTTGCCACTAGCAGAGTCCCTTCATACTTCCCAGTCAGATGTCACCCATCAACCACGATAACCCGTCTGATATATTAAAAACCAGCTATCGAAGCTCTGAAAGCTATGAATAGATATTTAAATATATTATGGTTGTCATGTTCAAGGGCGGTAATAGATATTTAAATATAACCCGGGATTGGCTTCTGCGATTTGATGCAAATAAGAATGTAAATTCTCATATCCATATTCTAGGGTTCCCCTCACATATTCTTGTGCATACATCAATGCTCTATACGAAATTGTATAATCTAGATTCATACCAAACATCACCTTCATTAAAATCTTTGATGTGTTGTGCAGTAATTCCATCAATTATTCTCACACGCTCTATAAATAACTTCTCAATGTATCTTGGAGTAGTATGCTTTCGGTTAGCCAACCGGTCTGAAACAGAACATGTATGAGTTTTTACATACTTTGTCACCCAAAACGTCGTTGCTTCGTTCTTTATAGCTGCTCTAACTCTCTATTGACATCATTTCACAGCACATTTAGACACAAACAAACGTTTTGATGACTTATCAGATCTGAATGCGAAATTTAACATAACCGCCGTCAACCTTATCTCTGATATCAGCTCATCCTTGCTAGCAAAACTTCTGTTGACTTTGATTTTGTAAATCCAGGTTCTTTCATATCCTTGTTGAGGAACTGAAACCTCATCATCAATCCACTCACCCTCTGAATGAGAATCTGAACCTCATCCTTCACTTTCCCATATTGTCTGTAGTCCTAATCTTCAGACAATGTATCGTCTTCCTCTTTTACTGGTTCGTCTTTGATGTTGTCATTGATCATCAGCACACCATCAACATTTTCGTCCTCACTTTCTTATGCAGTTTCACTTTCTGCTGCAATCTCATTCCCATCGCCACCAGCACCCCATCACATATATCCACATGATCATTACGAGTAGATACACAAAGATGTATAACATGCATCCTAGTAAACTCAATCAAGCTCTGTACTTGTCTATCATTTGTGATATGCATAGGAGAGGTATCTGGAGCCATTTTTGTAACATTGAATCTGGTAATACATAAGTGATCGACACCAAGTCAGTATTCTTCTCCAGCATATAATCATCTAGAGCCATAGCCATGAGTTCTTCATGTGTACAACCATCATTCAAGAAGAATATCATCCCTCCTTTGTGATTATCCACCACAAAATCCCACGACTGAGCACCCATAACCCATTCTCCAAATACAACAGACAATTGAATCAACATCGATCTGTGAAAAATGTTAAACTCCATTAGAAACCGTGTTCTGAAATAACTGCAGGAAGACTTCTTTAGAAGTCTGCAGTAATCCGCTAAAAGCCTAAACATCCAAGAAAATTCATTACTTTGTCAAACTTATATGGATGCAACACAAAAAATAAATAAACATGTCAAAAAAAAAACATTTTTAACAGTAACAATTATGCCAAAAACGAATTAAAAAAAAATTAGACATACTTCATATGCAGTCAGCTTCGATGTGTTAATACATAATCACAGACTTCGTATGCAGACTTTTTATGAAGTCTGCTTAAATGTGATAATTACCATTTAAAACAAGAAAATTAATAACTTTATAATTATAACACATAAACACACCAAACTCATACAGATGCAAGAACCATACCGAACATGCAAGTAAAAATAATAAAAATTAAAAAACATTACACATATTTTAGAAAATGCATTTTAAAAAAAAATCAAAAAGCAGATATCCGATCAAAGTCCACTGGGAAAATTTCGTATCGAAGTCTTAAAAAAGGACTACTTTTGCAATTGACCAAAAGTTTGACTTTTTAGTAGCAGATTTTTTTTTTTGCAGTCAATGGTATGCAAGAGTTATTTTTGCAATTGACTAAAAGTTTGACTTTTAGAATAGATTTCTTAAGAAGTCTGCTGACGGATAAAGGAAGTTTACTATAATAAAGAAGTCTGCCTACGAAGTCTGCTCTACTAACAAAGTCTACTCGAAGTTATTTTTGCATTTGACCAAATGTTGACATTCAAAGCAGACTTTTAAAGAACTTATTTACTTGTAGGTCAGATTTACATTTGACCAAATCTTATTACAATTGATAGCAGACTTCTTATGAAGTGTGCTAGGTTTTTTTTTTTGTTTGTTGCAGACTTCTAAAAAAAGTCTGAAATAAAAGTTAAAAGTAGTCAACATCTCAATCAATTGCAAAAATAACCTCCCGAGTCAAACAACAAAATCTTAGACTTTTAAGGAAGTCTGCAATAAAAGTCAAAAGTTTGACAATTTGTTTGGTCAAATGCAAAAACATCCTCGCTTTTACGGAGACTGCATTTGAAGTCTATATGAATAGTTTTTTAATTTTCAAAGGACAATTGTCAGACTTCCAAAGAAGTCTACTTTCAAAAATATCAAAAAGTTCAATTACAAATCTAACATCTGTTTTGACTAACAGACTATAAATGAAGTCTACTTTTACGAAACAGAGCTAAATGTTAAAGAAAATGAAGTAGATGTTTACCTACTTCTAATTTGAACTCGATTAGCTTCTACATACACCCATAATTTTGTATTGCACCGATAGCAAACTAGCTAAGTCGTTGTTATACAAGAAACTCCAAAAATCGATGATTTGTGAAATTGGAACTTATGAAAACGTGCATGAAAGAGTTTTTAAGATGAAATTGGAGAGAAATGTGGAGATAAATTGAAGTTATGAGCGACACAATAAGCATTTAGAGCTTCAAAATTGGTTGGAGAAATAGTAAGAACTTCAAAAGTGGTTGGTAATGGTGGCTGGCAATATTGAAGAATATGACATTTTCATGAATAACTAATATATTTTAGGATGATTGTGTCTTTTTGGTATTTGTTAAAAATAACGAAAATTTAATACATATTGACATTTTCATAAATATGTATATGGCTGTGAGAAGATAGTAGGGAAAAAGTGGTATTTATTGAAGAAATAGAAAAAAAAGATTATCTTTGCATTTAGCTTCAAATTATAGGTCATTTATGAAAATAACTCAAAAATTAAAATTAGTTTTTGTTTCAAACATATCATTATTAACAAAAATGGTTTCTTGTATAAGAGACATGCCTCCTTAGTTGTATTATGCATATTGTTTTATCATTTTTTAAATTATAGTTAGGTAGATGATAAACTAATATTTTTTAATTTATGTGCCAATACCTAAAACATCACTGAAACATAAAAATATATATTTAGTCTAAATTACCTATAATGACATAATTAAAATTGTCTTAAATTTTTAGCATTTTCATAAAAACAGAAACAAAAAGTTATTTTTTTAAAAAAATCTCATTATAGATATAATAATTAACATTTATTTTTAAATAATGTTTCTTCAATTAATAATGATTGTTATTAATATGTTCATGTGGGCTCCAACGTGCCCAATAATTGAGAAACATTATTTAAATTAATATTCTTTATTTTATCATGTGTTCATTAAAAGAAACTAACGTGCCATAACGTGCCATCAAATAGTAAAATATTATGATGAAGAAGCCAAGACGAAGAAGACGTCTAATCTGATCTTCCTTCTCTCTCACTCCACATCTCTCTGTGTTTCTTTGTTTTCCCACTTCTCTCAACGACCAAAAATTTCCCATTCTGTATACTTAAGAAGTAAAACAAGAAAATACAGAAAGAGAAAACCCATAAAAACAATGTCTACAAGTTCTATAACTCTCTTGACCCTCTTGGTGTTACTAATTTCTTTGTCTCTTGGTGTCGTGACTTCAACAAAGTCGCAGCGGAATGAAGCGGAGGTGCAGAAGATGTACGAGCAATGGATTGTGGAGAATGGGAAGAACTATAATGGTCTTGGAGAGAAGGAGAGGCGGTTTAAGGTCTTTAAAGATAACTTGAAGCGCATTGAAGAACACAATTCGGATCCGAACCGGAGTTACGAACGCGGGTTGAACCAGTTCTCGGACCTGACTGCTGATGAGTTTCGAGCTAATTACTTAGGAGGGAAGATGGAAGGAACAAGCGTATCAGATGTAGCGGAAAGGTATCGGTACATGGAAGGAGATATTTTGCCTGATGAAGTCGATTGGAGAGAGGGAGGAGCAGTTGTTCCACGAGTTAAAAAACAAGGAGACTGTGGTATGATTTCCAATTTTTCTAAAATCCATTTTATTGTCCAACAATCAAGATGTTACAAAAGTAATTTTCCTAAAAAATAGTGAAATTAGTTTATTACGGTTTTAACCAATTCTCAATGAAAAACAGAAAACCAAAGACCCAAAATCAAAAACTAAAAACTATTCAATCATTTTTCTTAGCATTATTTGATTGGATTGTGATTGCGGGTGAGATTGGTGGTTAGACCTTTATTGTTTGTAGATTCCACTAGGAATTTTTGTAATTTGTTTTCTTTCTAAAATCAATTTTATTATCCAATCAAGATGTAGAAAAGGTAGTTTTTCTAAAAATTAGGGGACAAGTTTGTAAAAGTTTTCACTAATTCTTAGTGAAAACAAAAAACCCAAGAACCAAAAACTAAAAACCAAAATCCAAAAACTATTCAAACAATCATGGCCTTAATAAATAGGAAGTTGTTGGGCGTTTGCGGCTACGGCAGCTGTGGAAGGTATAAACCAGATCACAACCGGAGAATTGATATCTTTATCGGAACAAGAACTCATTGACTGCGATAGAGGGAACGGCAACTTTGGATGTGTTGGAGGTGGAGCAGTATGGGCTTTTGAGTTCATTGTAAGAAACGGTGGTATAGTAACAGATGAAGTTTATCCTTATGTTGGCAATACTAGTGCCGCATGCAAGGCCATTGAGGTTTGTAAAACCAACATACGAGTATATTATTGACATTTTTTTTTTTCGTAGTTTTGATTGTGGTTTCAATTTGGTAACTTATATGTTCTTTAATCTTTGTTTTCAACCCACAGATGCCTACCACTCGTTTTGTTACTATTGATGGTCATGAGGTTGTTCCTGAAAAAGATGAGATGTCTTTGATGAAAGCTGTTGCTCATCAACCTGTTAGTGTTATGATATCAGCAGCAAACATGAGCGACTACACATCTGTAATTCCAATTGACACTATAACCAAAATGCTTTGATATTCTTTTTAAAACTTAATACTAAGTTGTGATCAAGTTTTGTTTTTCTTGTGTTCTTCCTCAGGGTGTGTATAAAGGACCATGTAGTAATTTGTGGGGAGACCACAATGTGCTAATCGTTGGGTATGGAACATCATCAGAAGAAGGAGACTATTGGCTTATTCGTAATTCATGGGGACCAGAATGGGGAGAAGGTGGATACCTTAGGCTCCAACGTAACTTTCATGAATCAACCGGGAAATGTGCAGTCGCAGTAGCGCCTGTATACCCAATCAAGTCGAGCTCGTCATCTAATTTGTTGTCTCCAAGTGTGTTTAAATTGCTTCTTTTATTTGTTTTTAAGTTAGTTAGTTTAACCTTGCTTTGAGATAGACTTTCATCGATGTTCGAGCTCCATTAATCTTCTCCGTTTCGGCTGTATAAGCAGAATCGTTTGTTGTTTGTTGTTCGTTGGTTTTAGTATTAGTAAAGAAAACGAGAATCGTCTCAAACCTCTTGCTTGAACTAAGGTATCATTTTAGCTCCACGAGATCTTTTCGACGAGAACAGCAAGGTTCTTTAAAATCATTAGCTTTCTTGTCACGCTTTAAGTTGATGCAACATTTAGTCCATCCTCTCAAGGGGGAGTGGGGGGTTGACGTTAAATCTCAAGATAGCTTGAAAAGATGGGTGGGTAGACAAACCACTATGATATTATGACGGGAGGAGAAGCTATGCAACTACTTAAGATGTTAACATTGATACGAGATTTTCCTAGAAGTTCTCAATTTCTGAAGAAACTTTAAGTTTCTAGGCCGATATAATAATTACTTCATACCGTATAAGTCCCGCATGAATTGGCTCAATGTCCTCACAGTTGCATCACTTGAGAGGTTAGTGGATGGTTTTCAGAGCCAACCTATGAGTTCTTATAGCCCTCACATGCTTCTATCTTTCTTTGAGCTTAATATGTATCTAATTTCAACACCAAGCCATTCTTAACTAATACAATATATGTAGTTTATCATCAATTTTAAATTATGTTTTACTATCAATTTATCATACGCAAACAAACTTCACTGTTATATTATTTCATAATGCATAATCTATTGAAATTATCGTAAACATCTAGATCAATACATTGTTTTATATTCATGTTTTCACCAATAGCTAGTTCTTAATAATCGATTGTTCTCACTTATAGCGTGGGTTATATCTTATTTCTTGTAATGAATACATAAACAAAAGAACATTTTTAAATAATGTTTCTCATTTGTTATGTGTTCGTCTGGGCTCTAATGTGCCAATCCAAAATTCAAGCGGGATATGTGCAATCACATATAATACTGTATACCCAATCAAGCTGATCTCGTCATCTGATTTATGGTTTGCTTCTTTTATATTTGTTTTTCAGTTAATTAGTTAGGCTTTGCTTTGAGATAGCTAGACTTTCGCTTTTGCCAATGATTTGGGTTTAAATTTCTATATAACCTCCTTAATTGATAATAATAATATCGATGAGTTTCATTAAATATACCTCTTTTAGCACAAATATCTTTTTAACTCTTGTTATTTTATTTTTTGTAATAATTTTTCTATTAATCATATATATGAAAATAGGTGAATTCTCTTCATATCTTGCCACATCAGTAATTGAGAAGCTGACACCTATCATTTTACATAATTATTAAATCAAAAATTTTATAATTAAAAATCAAAAACTAATTAATACCACTAATTTTAACATAAATTTCTTTTTAATGTTTATCTATATGTTCATAACCATTGAGTTACATTAAAATTAAGACTTTTCACATTCCTAATAAAAATAAATAAATAATATTTTTAATACATTATACAAAAAATAATAAAAATAAAAGTTATTTGTTTGATACAGATTTTTTTTTAAAAACTAATATCAAATAATCAAGCAAATTATCATATTCTTATATTTAACTACGTATATATATAAAAACAAACATATTTTTTAAAAAATTATGTAAAAAAAAAATTCGGGTGTATGCGCAGATACAAGTCTAGGGAATATTAATTTTAGAATGCACTTAAATTATAGTTTTACAAAATGTTATCGTCATTTCTTCCTTCCACTCCTACAAATATATAGTTTTCTTTATTTTTACTTTGTAACTTTGAGTGCTTCGAACTTTACTTTTTTCTTCTCTCTGATTACCTCTCGGGTTATTACTTCTCTAATTTATTTCTTCGGTTGGAAATTTTCCAAGTCCTTTGGCATATGCATGATTTTGTTGTAAAATTTTGATTTAAGATTCTAAAAATTGAACCTTTACATTATTTTTTGCATAAATAACCCTATACATTAATATTATTTATGTATTCAGAAAAATCCTCTATTATTAACTCAAAGAGTGTAACTAACATTGTTTGTCAAAGAGTTAGCGAGGAAACGAGAGTATAACCAAAGTTGGAGATGCATTGCTTTCCTAAAGTATGCAAGACTTTTAATGCATGTCTAGATTTGTGTACTCTTCATGCTGAACAATGTGATTTTTTTTTTTGTCAACGAACAATGTGAATTTTTTACCTTGAATTATAAATTGTATCTAACATATAGAAAATTAATTTTTCAAAACATATATACTAGCTACAATTTAAAAAAATTGTTTTCATTGTGTTTTATATATTTTTTTAAAATACATAAAATTTATAAACTTAGTAAAATAAAATCTTAATAAAAAAATATCTGCCTAGCGCGGGAATTAACCTTAATCATATTTATAAAAGAACACTTTCATTCTCTCTCTATTGGGCCACTTGGCACTCTCTTCAAAAAAAATTTTAAAAGTTATTTCATTTAAAACTACACAACTAAATCATATTAAATTCATTCAATTCATGCAAACAACAATAATATAGTAGCATCTATAACATCTTTATCAAAAAAAACCATATATGACATCTTAAAAAAAAAATGTATATGAATGTTTGTTCCTACAAAAAATTTTAAAAGTATATATTTCAAAAAAAAATTGAAAGAGGAGTTAGAATATTCCATCGTTCCATCAATATGATTTGATATAGTTACTAAATTTAGTGGAACCAAAAAAGCATCCTATCAATATATCCATGGTTACATAATCGATAAGTCTAAGAAAACCAAAAAATTATAATAGATACATTTATGTTGTACATAAAAAAATAATTGTAAACAAATGTAACGTCAATTTGTAATTTAATTCACTAAGCTTTCAATTGTGAGTTGACTTCACATTAATTATAAATTGACTGAAAAAACAGTCCAATAAAACACAATTTTTCTAACGTATGGATCAATGAGGGGAAGAAAATTGGGATTAAACCTCAAATATTATATGGCAATTAAATCTTATTATGTGATTGATTGAAAGCTAAAAGCGAAACAATTTAAAACCATAACGTATGAGTTAAAAACAAAGCCAATATCTTGAAGAAAAATAACTTATTCGTTTAACCTTTTAGCAACAAAAAATAAACGTCTTCGTTTCTTTCATTTACTATAAATAGCTCACATGCTGTCAATATAATATAAAAAAAAAAAAATATCACGTGCTGTCAAAACACAAAACAATTCGCATTATATACACACTTAATCACTTATCAAATGTCACAAACATATTAGTTGAAAGCCAATTAGAAAACCATTGTATATCAGTATATGGGTTAGCAGAATTTAAAAGTTTGCTTGGATTCATGTAGGGCATTGTCAATATAATTTTTCCCCCAAATTTTTACATCTTAAAAATTTTAACACGGCTTCTTATGTGTTTCTGTTGCAGTTGTGAAAAGATTATGATTTTCTGAAATAAATTTTTATATTTGTTCTGTTTTCTTACCACCATGTTTGATTCATTTACTGACAGTAGAAAATTATGTATTCTGTATTTGCTGATTTTTCTTTGTGTCCTTTCTCATAGCCTCTTAGCCTGAGGCCTGGGATAATGAAGAATATAGTGAATGGACTGCCACGACCATTCCCAACCTTGAGTATATGGGTGAATGGAAGCCTAAAGTTTGTCTATCTAACTGTCTAGGGGTAAATATAACATGTTCAACCTTTTTTTTACCTTTCAAGGTTGTCATGTCCTTCTGTAGCAAATCAATAACCCCGACTACAAGGGCAAGTGGGAGGCTCCAACGATTGACAACCCTGGTAAGTTTCTACACTTTGTGGCCTTCTTATTTCCTTTATTCATATTTTTCATATTCCATAATACACCTCTAGGGGTCTCATGTTTTTTTTATGTAATACTTTTTTGAATAAGAAAATTGAAGGCATAATGTAGTGAAAGCCTGGAAGGTAGTGGATTGAGATTGAAGATTTGGTGTCCAGACTAAAAAGTTTTTGGTCATTAAAGTAAGTTTAAACTTCCAAAATTCATTCTTCTTCTATTTTTCTTACAAAAATATAATTTTTTTTCTTCTATTTCTTGCAATTTGGTAAATAAAATATTGTTTATGTGATATTCATCCATCTTTAATATTAGCAAAGTGCAGAACATAGTATTAGAAATTTATAATATAATATTGTTTTCTAATATATTTTCCGACTTGAATCTAACCATTTGTTTTATAAATACAGACATGGATTGATACAAAGTTACAAACCTCAGTATTGACATTCGGGTTGATATTCATAAATTATTTTGTTTCTAAGCTCTCTTTCTTGTATGGATTTATTAGCATTGGTTCATTAGCATTATTCAATTAGGTGCAAGTGAAAGAAAGAGAAGAAGATGATGAAGTAGAGAGCAAAAAATCTGATGAAGTAGATTAGGATAACTAATTAATTTATTGGAAGATGGGTATTATTTTTTGTATAGAATTGTTTTATAGAATATAGATGATTTAGAATAAACATCTATACATATGCAAAATTATGAATTTCTAAGTTTATAATTTCTACTAATTTTATATTTTATCATATTTATAAGATTTTAATTTATTCATACATACTTTGTTTTTTGTAGAAAGATGATAACACCGAATATACTTAATCAACAAATAATTTTGTTGTTGTAATATATTAATCTATTATATAATGAGAGAGTTTTCTCTCCATCTAGACTATCCACATCACCAAACTCATAAAGCTTAACATTTAAGTATATTTAAAGTATGCATTTAATAAATATATCAATGTTTGTTATTAATATATTTAGTATAAATTAAATTAAATTTAAAAAATTATAGTATAAATAAAAAATAAGTGATAATTAGATATTAATAATTAAAAACATTGTAATTCTAACTAGATTAAAAATATATATATTTTCTTAAAAATGATAAATTATTAAATGGAAAAAATGTTTAAAAATGACGATAATTAAAAAAAAGCAAAAATAATGAAAAATAATAAGAAAAATAGAAGGAAGAAGAAAAATTAAAATACAAAAATAGAAGATGTTAAAAAGATGAAAAATAATAGAAATTAAAGACCATTAAGAGGAATAAGGAAAAAAAAAGAACACAAAGCTGATGAAAAAGGATTTTGAAAAATATGAAAACAAAGAAAGAAAGAGAACAGAAGATAAAGATATCAAAATATGAAAATATGAAAATGGAGAAGAAGAAAAAATTAACAAAAATAGATAAATATGATGTTTAAATTTCAAAAATTTGTAAGAATAAATGATTAAAAATTATTACTGCGCAACGTGTAGAGCATAAACAAAAAAAAATAATTTTAATACTGTAATAAAAATCACACAATAGTGACAGACAAAATATAAAAGTACATGAAATAAAAAAAATAACAGAAATTAATAACATAATTAAGAAAAAATTTTATTATATACAAACACTAATAAGGATTGTACAATATAAATATAGAAAAAAACTATTAAACTATAAAAAAAATTATCAAACAAATTATTTTTTTAAAAAAACATATAAAAATGTAAAACACATAAAAATATAAAATAAAATGCGCGCGAAGCGCAGACTCAACCCTAGTTATTTATAACTAAAAAGAGAGATCAACCCACTACAAAAGCATTTAAAAAATCGATAATTTACATTCATTTGCTATAAATAGTAGTTTTTATTATATTTGTTTAATGATTATATTTCCAGTAAATAGAAAAAGCTACAGATGAAAATCTATAAAAAATTTCAATTCACTAAAAAAAATTATTTTTTGTTTATCAATATATACATAATCAGAAGTTTTGTTGCTCTCATGACATATATTCACAATCATATCTATAAATCATTGATTTTGATGTAAACTTTATTTTATATACAACAAACAAAAATAATCATTTTATCATGACCATAAATTCAATTTAAAACAACAAATTATCACTAAATATATAATCTATCCATCGCGTGGACAATCATCTAGTTAATATTAATACTCAACTAGATTATATCGGACCTTATCGGAACAATTTACTAAAGATAACTCACACCCATAAATCACGCAATAACATACAATAAAAGATGCTAACGAAAAGCATAGGCTCCATATAATTAAATTGAGCATACAAAGTCTAAAAAATTTAAATTTATTAATAAACTTGAAATTGTATTATGATGAAATGACAGATTAATAAATAAATTATGAATATACATTTTAAACGCTTATAAATATGATATATAGATAATGCATATGTATAATCAATGGTTTAAATCACTTAGATCACTTACTAGTTACTACTATGCTCTAGAACTATACCAATCAACTAATACATGTATAAAACCGAATTATAAAGAAGAGTATACTGTCCACGTTGTTTACTACTATGCTCTACTATATGAGCTCTTCCAACTACACATAGAGAAGTGGTTTTGGTTTCTTCTTGAGTGAAATATCAGTAGTTCGGTACCTTTTGTGGCAGAGTAGACTGAGCCGACATTAAGAGACACGACTCCAGCAACAGAGGATATGAACCCGATGTTCCCAAATCCTGAAGCCTTGAGCAGAGGATGTGCAAGCTGGCTAAAATGGTACGCAGATTCCAAATTGGTCGAAATGTGGAACGAGAAATCCTCTGCTGTATGTTCCATTGTTGGCTTTGACCGGATTGCACCAACATTGTTAATCTAATATCAAGAATATACAATCCGAGACATGAATCAGCCAATAAAGTTTTTTTCTTGCACAGGACAATACAAATCAAATGATATGGGATGGAGACTAATTACAAGTATACTAAGCTTGGCATCAAACAATGAGGACACGGTTTGCATAAGCTTCTCTCTTTCGGTCCAGGATGATGCGTCACAGACTGAACCAGTCACTTGAAACCCTTTCTTTTTCCATTCACTTAAACACTCGTTGAGTTGAGATTCGTCTCGAGCACATGTATGTATTATTGCCCCAAATCCTGCAAGTTCCTCTACTATAGCATGCCTAGAAAGTTTCAAGAATCAACAACCTAGTGTAGTTCCTAGTGATTTCAAGATGTATGGAGAGAGAAGAATGATGATTACGAACCCGATGCCTTTGGTTCCACCAGTGACAAGTGCGGTCTTGCCTTGAAGACTCCATCTGCGTCTTTGCTCCTCTCCAGCCATTTCCCTCAGATAGAAGTGGATGGTGATGTTATCAGAATAGTTTGTGTTTTTTGGTTAAATATAAGTAAAAATATTGAAGGCCACAATTATGAAATAGTGATGGTCGATCTACCACCATTGACCAATATGAAATATCTCATATTTTGAGGATCCTACTCGTTCGGTGAGTCATGTGTCTCATCAGAGCCTTAGTATGAACGCACAGTATTCAATAATGTTTTAAACGTGGGACATTGAGCCCGCTTGTTCTTATCCGTGACCTTAAGAAGACAAACTAATCAATGAATCTTCTAGGAATAACATGAGTAGATGAACTTAGTCTAGTTCTCTTAGTTAAACTAATAAATGAAATGTCAAGGAAATAACATGAGTAGATGAACTTAATCTCGTTCTCTAAGTTAAACTTTTTTTTTATTATTATCATTATTTTTTTTAAAACTAATCAATAAAATGTCAAAGAAATAACATGAATAAAGGGAACTAGATAGTTGCTCACGCGATACTTAGATTGTGGTATCTAGTTACTTTTTAGATTCATTTACTTGATTTTGCGTCCACGCTATGCGTGAGAATTTTATTGATAAAAATTATCTACAATCAATCATATTTATTAAGATATAATTATATATTAGAATTTTAATAATATATTAAAAATATTATAGTGTTAATATAATTTTTATGTAAATTGTGAGGTTTCAATGGTTTTTTTTTTAAATTTATATACAATATGTTTTTTTCAGAAACGTACTATTTGGTCAAAGACTTATAAGTTAATATACTCAAACCGATTAAAAATTTTACAAAATAATCAAATGCTACTATTTAAACATAGTATTGACATGACGATAAAATATTATACATTCACTTCTTCAAATCAAGAAGATAATTGTTTTTCATCATTTTTACTTTCATTTCAGTTATATATGTGATCTTAAGAAAATAATAATAAAATTTTAAATTTAATCTTTTTTTCTTATTTAACCAATACAATTTTTTGATATATTAATTAAATAAACAAAGTAATAAATAAAAATTTTGCTTTGAGATTAATTCCAAAAAAATAGTTGAATATGAAATGATTAAAATCACACAAAATTTGTGAACTAAATTTATTTTTGTCATTTGGTTGTGTTAACTTTTAAATAATTTTTCAATGATTATACCTCATCTCTTCTAATAAGAATATAAAATAATTTTCATCATGTTCATTTTTATTCTTGTTAAATCTGTTTTTTCAATAAATATATCATTTTATTTATTTAATAATTTGTTTTATGATTATATTCAGTTTCATCATATTCATTGTCATTTCTTCTAATTATAATTAAATAGACAAAATTGGTATAATTTAATAAATACAAATTTAGAAAAATGAATAACAAACTGAATAGCTCAAAACTAAGAACTTCTTCATTAATCTATTGTAATTCCAAGTCAAATATAAAAATGTATTTTTTCAATCATTTTTACATAATATATTATATAATATTATGTGGAAATATGTTTTGTATATGTGAAAGAAATTTAGATGTAAATCATATATATTATTTATTAAAAATTCTACTTGAAAAGCCTTTAAATCAAGTAACTTAAACTTGTATAAGTAGTATATTTTTTTATATTTAAAAAAATAAATTTGTAACTAAAACAGTGATAACGGAGATTTTAATATCATGTGGTTTATTTTTGTTGTTAATTATGGAGATTTTTTTAAAAAAATTTTTAACCATAATATTAGGATTTGAAACTTGATTTTAATTTTTAAATGTTGATATGAATACCTTAAAAATAATATGGCTAAACTGTTATTAATAATAGAATAGTTTAAATTACAATTTTTCCTATATTGTTTTGTATTACCAATGTAATTTTATAATTTAAAAACTTTTTGAATTTTAATTATTAATGTGGACTAAAAACATTGACCTTTTAAATTTTATGTGGATGTCCTTGGAGGCATATAACTTCAGCTTTTATTTTTCTATAAATTTTTGTTTTGTTAACAATACAGTTTTAAAATTTGAAAATTTCCTTAATTTTAAATATTGATATGAACCAGTAGAATTGAAATTTTAAATCCTATACACTCTTTGAGGCATATAGATTCAGGTTTTATTTGTAATATATTTAGATATTAACGCTGGAAGATCCCACACGAGACCCGTTGCGGCAAGTAATTTTGGTTTCTCCTCCATGTTTTGAGGCTTACGGAATATATTCTGCTATTGTTTGATTCAGCTAATTGTTACCTTTGTGCTTCAGGTTGGATTGCTAAACCCTTGTCAGATGTCATGTTATTCCAAAGATTTTTCTCGGATACCTCAGTCTCTTTCGCCTTACTGCGGAGCCTCTTTCTCTATTTTTATTAGTTCGTTTTCAAAAATTTTGGGTATCAATCATTTGACATGTTTTTCGAATTACATGAAATTTATCATTCTTTTCAAATCTAGTGGTAAAACTTTAGAGATTTTACGGTCTCTTTTTCAATATTAAAGCAGCTTGTAATGACTTTGTTTTCATCATATTCTTTTTAATTTAGCTAATAGTTAAACATATAGTTTATTCAAGTTGGTTCTTAATTTTACATTGTAATGATTTATTCTTTAGTGAAACCTAACTCTATTTTTTTGCTTTTTTTAATTGAAATGGTTGTACACACATAAAAAAAATTTAAAATTTATTATAGTTATGTGACAAAAATTTGGATACTAATGTAGGAGTCTCTAAATATATGTGTATAAGTAAATAAATTTTAATATTTTATTTGTTCTTAGTTATTTTTATAATTGAAACATCTAATTTAAATTTAAATTTTCCTATTTTAAAATTATTTATTTTATTTTATTATTATTAATATAAATTGTATGTATAATTTATTCATCTTTAATAATTTTTTTTTAAACTATAATAGAATTTAGAAACTTTTTTATTTTTAATGTTGAGGTGGACCAATAAAAAATTTATATGCAAATTTCTTTATTCAACAATAATATTAGAATTTGTAAATTTTCTTAATTTCCTTGTTTAACACTAATATTAAAATTTGGAAATTTTCTTAATTTTGAATGATGATGTAGACCAATAAAATTGTTAATTTCTTTATTTAACAATAATATTAAAATTTAGAAATTTTTTTAATTTTGAATTTTGAATGATGAAATGGACCAATAGAATTGCCCTTTTAATCCTATGTGGACACCTTGAGAAGCTTATAGCTTCAACTTTTATTAGTATATAAGATAAGATAAGATGATTATGATATAATATTTTTTGCACATAAACTAGAGTTTAAATAAAAATTAATGAATCATAGTGCGATAAAAACTTATATACTTCATGAGCGCAACAAAAACTTATATTCATGTATATGTATGTTGATTGATAAAAAAGTGTGTTTTGGGTGTGAATCAATTGTTTTTTGAATAGATTTTACTAATAATTTATATATACACGTAACTAGAGTTGGCTTTCAGGTATACAAGAACATAATAATATAGACAGCTAAGCTTTTGTTTAATAGATCAATAAATGTTGTTTCATACAATTTAAAAAATACAGGTAAGCTTCATTGATATCTATATATGTATATAATAATTTCTATATATAAATAATCAAGTCTCTTGTCTTCATGTCGACAAGAAAATAAAATAATATTAGTCCATTGACTACAGTAGTAGTATATGAGAATTTGACTTTGTAAGAGTATCTCCAATGATCTTTCATTTTTACATTTTCCTTCATTTTGAAGATAAAAATGAAGAAAGTTCTTCAATGGTGCTTCAAATTCATCTTCAAAATAAAGAAATGAACAATGTTCCTTTAAATTTGAAGGAACACTGTTCATTTCTTCATCTTTTGAAGGTGAACTTTTTTATTTACAAAATATATCTTTAACTTTCTACATGCTTTGTTTTATACCCAAACAAAATTTATATATTTTTTTATCCAATTAATTTTAAAACTGTTAATTTTTTAATTAAATTATTAAAGTAAAAAAATACAGTAAGCACAATAAAAATATACAATAACATATATTATATAGAAAATACAATAACATAGCCCACAACAAAATTAAAAATGCATAATTAATACTGAATTATAAATAATAAACTTAACTAATATAAATTAACAACTTAATAATTTGGAAAATCACTTCCAAGTCCATTAAGATGATTAAAATACTGTCCAAATAAAGTTGATGCTGAAGGAGGAGTTTGTTGATTTTGTTGTTGTTCAGCCCTTTTCTGTAAAATCCGTGCTTGTTCAGCTTGAACATATGTATGAATATTCACATCTTGTATAGAATTTATGTCTTGAAACAAAATTTTTTTTTCTTCTTTAAATTCTTTCAAAGCATAATTCTTACTTTGAATATCTAAATGGTGCTGTCTTTGGGAGCTGGTCTTTTTTAGTTGCTCCACAAGTTGTCTACTTCCTTCTTCTAAAGTGTTGATAACAAGTGATGTTTGATTATCACTTTTTATTTTCAGCTTAGCTTTTCTCACTCCAATCGGTCGTTTAGATGCAGACCCACCAATAATGTCTTCTTCATCATCTAAATTCAAAGAAAGTGAAAGCAAACCTGAAGATGCTTGTGTACCAAAGTCTGGGGTTGGATTTTCCGACTCCGAAGATGCATACCCAAAACCACATGTATTTGGTACGTTTCTAGCTGGAGTTTCACCATCTTTAAACTTCTCAAAATTCTTAATAATGCTCCACACATGATCAAATTTCCAACCTGCTTTGTATTTTGGATCTTCCTTTAACATTATTTTGGCTTGATCAAACTACACATAATTAAAGAATTTATTAAAACTAATGTAAATGAATTAAGAAATCATATATTAACTATCACAAAAAATACTCACAATGTCATCATTTTGAAGCACCACTTGGACGTTGATTTTCACATTGTCTGATGCATGCATGTAATTTTTTTGTTGCTTTTTCAATAGCTTGAAATCGACATTGGATGGATTTCTTTGACCGTTCACTCCAAAATGCATCTTTTCCATTCTCGTAGCCTTCTACCACACGAGACCAAAAATGATCAGATGATTGATAAACACCTGTGATAGGATCTTGATAAATTTCCATAAAAATTTGACATAAAAATTTATCTTCTTCTTGAGTATATCCACAAGAACATAAAGGCATTTTTGTAAATAAAAGTGAGAAAAGATATAGATGAATATGAAAATTATAGATTGTACAATGTTGTGAATGAAAATAAAAACTCATGATCTTATTTATAGATGTTGGTAAAAATTGTCATATTTTTAATTTTTAAAAATGATCTGACAATATAATTGTAAAGTGTTTTAAAGATTCTCACGTTTCTTAACTTATTATAATATAAATTGACAATACAAATGCAAAGTTAGTCAAAGAATCTTTTTTTTTCTCAATTTATTATGACAGAAATGACAATACAATAGCAAAGTAATTCAAGATTCTCACGTTTCTTTTTTTTTCAATTTATAGTATCAGAAATGATAAACAATGGTAAAATAATTTAAGATTCTCACATTTCGTTTTTTTTTTTATTATGACATGAAATGATAACACAATAGCAAAGTAAATCAAGATTCTCACGTTTCTCTATCTATCATGATAATATATGTCATCTGATAATACAAAATAAAGTGATTCAAATATTCTCATGTTCTCTATTTATCATAACATGATATAACAATACAAAAATTAGTAAAATAAAAAAATTGACAATACAATAGCAACTTGACTCCAAATGTTTCAATTATCATTTCTATAAGTAGCACCAAAACTCAATATGTTTCGTCACAACCTCAACAAATATTTATTACTTTTCTCACTCTAAATCCTATCTCTGAAAATGAATTCTAATTTTCCAAATTTACTACATTTTCATGATTCATCATCATCATCTTCAGATGATGATAATATGGAAATGATCAATAGTCTCGAGGAAGAAGAACAAGCAATACATCTTGCTATTGCTAATAACAATGCGATCATTCAATACCTTCTTAGCCAACAGAGTAACCAAGTGCTCCACGGTGGTTCGGTTCCTGGATGCTCTTTCATACACCGTGATCGAGAAAGTGCACATTACAGATTATTCAACGACTACTTCTCAGACAGCCCGCATTACAATGATGCTATGTTTCGCAGGAGATATCAAATGTTTCGCCCCTTATTTCTTCGTATAGTCAATGCCGTTGAAAGTCATGACAAGTACTTCAAACAACGAAAGGATTCAACTGGTAGACTTGGATTATCCTCCCTACAAAAAGCAACAGCCGTATTTCGGATGCTAGCATATGGTGTACCAGCAGATGCCACAGACGAGTACATTAAGATAGGCGAATCAACGACAATTGAAAGTATGAAGAGATTTTCTCGAGCCGTAGTGGAAATATACTCAGCTCAATACCTGCGTTCACCAACACCTGATGATGTTTCTAGGCTTCTTTACATTGGTGAGAAACGAGGTTTTCCAGGAATGCTAGGTAGTTTGGATTGCATGCACTAGAAGTGGAAAAATTGTCCAACCGGTTGGACTGGACAATATGCTGGTCGTAGTGGATCACCAAGTATAATTCTTGAAGATGTGGCGGATTATGATCTTTGGATATGGCATGCATATTTCGGAATGCCTGGCACAAATAATGATATCAACATTTTGGAGTCTTCCCACCTTTTCTCCAACCTTGCTCAAGGTATTGCTCCTCCTGCTCATTTTGTCATTCAAGGAAAAGAATATGACATGGGCTATTATTTAGCTGATGGTATATATCCAAAATGGTTGACCATTGTGCAAACTATTCATGAGCCAGTGGGTTCAAAAAAAAAATATTTTGCTACACAACAAGAAGCTTGCAGGAAAGATGTAGAACAAGCATTTGGAGTTCTTCAATCACGTTTCCCAATTGTGAAAGGGCCAGCTCGTTTTTGGGATAAGAATGTGCTACATGACATAATGACTACTTGTATAATTTTACATAATATGATAATTGAAGATGAGCGTGATCTCAGTGCACCAATTGAAGTAAGAAGAGAAGTTCTACCTCCAGAGGTTGAAATAGAAGCGAATGAAAGTATCCGGTTCCAAGAATTTCTGGCTCGTTATAGAAAAATCAAGGATAAAGAAATTCATTTCTCTCTTCGAAATACATTAATTGATCATCTATGGGAAAAATATGTGTCTTCTAGTACATCATAAGATTAGGCATGGTTTGCTCTTATTTACATTATGTATTGTAATTTTCTTTATATAAATTTTTTTTAATTATATAAAATTTATAATTTGGTTGAATAATTACTCTACATAAATAAATAGGTGAAAATTTGTTAAACTGAAAAATATAGAACCTTGTTAGCAATTAATAAAAAAATAGAGATAAAATATGTTTGGAATATTCTTTCTGAAGAAAAAAATAAAGAAAGTTTGCTCCAATAGTTTCTTCATTTTTTCCTTCAAATAATAGAGTCAATTAACTAGAGTTGGCTTTCAGGTATACATAAACACATATGTGCAATTGAAAGGATTGAATCAAGTCAAGAAATTTGAAATTAAGAGTATGTGAATAGAAAATCCCTGACATTAATTAAGGCCTCGATAAAATATCGAGTACACAAGCCACTTGCGTAAAGCCGTAATTAAACATAATCAAAGGAAAAGTAAATTGGTTCTTTAATTTGTAAGAGTCTTTATTCATAAGAACCTCAAAATGTCTCTCACAGAAACAAAAGCTTATTCTTCACCGCCGGCATTCTCGCCACTCTTAACGATGTGCTTCCTTGCGTATGTCTGATTCCTCAGGAACTTAGGGTCCATCTTAATCATATCACAAAGATAGAGAAGCGAAATCAAACTCCGAAACTAAAATTGTTATATGGATAATTTGGTTATAATTGTAATCGATACTTATTTCTTTGGTGGAGGTCTGACGGTGCCTCCTTGGCTTCTTGCTTCCGTTCTTGTGGGCCTTGACCGACTGGTTATGCGCCGTATGATTCTTCGATTTGGCTATCTCTGTTAAAAACGCCCGAATCAACTAAAACCCTAATGGCCCAACATTTATAAGAGCCCTAGGGCAAGAAATTTTTTTGGGTCCTTTATAACAATCTAACACCAAAAATCTGTATTTAAGAGTCCTTTTAAAACAATATTTTTGCATGAGCCTTTCAAAACAAAACATTTTGATAAATATGGATTTTTTGAAGAGATTTTTTGTCAAATATGGGCTTTTGTGTAAGAAAAATTTTGTAAAAAAAAAATAGACCCAGGGGCGGTGGCACCTCTGCCCACCTCTTTTGGGCCGGGCTAAACAATATAAATTTAAGCTAATATTATTCTGATATTCTCAAAAGTCAAGAATCAACTAAACCTCCAAACAGTATAAACTAAAGCTAAATATTATACAGATCCAGTGAAACTACTTGTAACACGTTTTCTATTAATCCAACTTCTGAGAATTATGAAATCGAAAGATCTAACCCCAGTGCAATAAATATAACTAAACTAAGAAACATCATCAACCAAACACATGAGACCAACTGTTTCCATATCAAAAATCAATAAAACACGATGAAACGAGCACTAGGAAAACAGATCGGACTGATTATAAGCCAGAACAGCAAGCGAGGCTAATAGTTCCTTTGATCTCATAATGATTATTTTTTTATATATGACTTGGTCTGATACCAAATGGATGCCTGGATTAAGACAAACTAGGCTACTTGCAAAAAATGGAACTCTGCTAGAAAGATGTTTTAGTTTAAGGTAGAACTGTGTATCATGTTGTGTGTTCTGTTTGTGGTAAACAATCCAAAGCATACTTTGCATGAGTTGGGAGAGTGATATATGTGTTAGTAAAGTATGTATGGTTCATGGAAAGAACACAATGACGGAGCTAAATAGTAATATAAGAAAAGCAGTAACAACAACCCACAATCAAAAAAATCCATCAAAACAAAAATATGTATAAAACACAAGCGTCTCTGTATTTGATGATTGGTTTTTCTGTTTAGCTCTGTATCTATGGTTCATGTTATATCCATTATTGTATTTTTAAGATATTCAATCAGATTAAAATTTTAACATTGAAACTGATAAATATTAATATTATATGGCAATTTGACGGAGCGGGTTAGGTTTTTTTTTAATAATTGTGATCTTATGCATCAACACATGCAAGATATTAAAATAAAAATTATTTCAAAGTTTGTAAATATTTATATTACATAGTAGTATGAACAGGCAGAATACATATGGTTTTATAACCTTGGTTCTTTCAGATTAATAGAATGAGCGAGTTAGAAATATGTTTTTATAATAATGATTATTTTCGATCAATAGAAAGATTGGATTAGAATTACAGTTTTATGCTCGTGGTCATAATAATACTAAAAAAATGAAAAACAAATTATATCTAAACAAAAAAAAATAAATTTTTTTTACTTATTTGAAAAATTATATCTATAAAGAAAATAAAATTACATTACAAATTTTGATTAAAAAAAAATTTCTGTGCGGATGCACGGGATAAAATCTAGTAGAATATTAAAATTCAAACAATAATTTTTATTTACATATGTTTATGATATATTTAGCAGCTTTTTATTAATTTATACTAAAACAAAAATCTAAATGGATCTTTTTCGAAAAGAAAAACTAAAATCAATAGCTGTTTACAAATTATCTGTGTAATATGTTGATAAAGTCGAATTTGAATGAGCCATTTACTGCAATCTCCTACCATATCCAATATATGCAATCTCATTTATACTTTTGAAGCCAAACGAATTGATATGATCTGTATAACACTTTCTCCATCATAATCCTCAGAGACTTCATGCACATATCTTGTAGATCAATTATGATTTTTTATTATTTTTGAATTTATGTTGGAGATAGTGTTTAAAGAACCATGTAGAGAAAAAGAAAACTGGTGTTTTAATGCTAGTGTTTCAACATCTTCATTAGCTCTGTTAAGTTGGAGACTGATAGAATCAAAGATTCGTAGCATTGAGTTTTTCCTAAATATATATATATATATATATATATATATAGATCATGCTAATCAAAAATCAGTTAGACCTTAAGCGAGTCCCCCTCTAATTAGTAAAATTTAAGATTAAATAACAA